TGTTGCCCACTGTGTCCTTTTTGATAAGTTTGATAGCGACCTTGTTATGGGTAAATCAGTAAGCAGCATGTTGAAGGACGGCAAGATATTCGTCCTACGTACCTGAACGCCGCCTTCCTGCTTCCACCCAAGCTTGACCTTGCCGAATTCACCCTCTCCAATCGTATTGCCGAGAATATATTCGCCAAATTTGGTATGCTTTTCTCGCTTGGAATGATCGTGCCGGCTTCTATGGCCGCGCCGGCTTTCCTCTCCATAATCGCCTTCAGGAGCTGCCACAGCCTGCGACGCGGCCTCTTGGCGGTGATGGTGGTTGTAGTTACTCGCCTGTTGTGCCTGTGCTTGTGCCTGCGCTTGTGCATGCGCATGAGCTTGTGCTTGTGCTTGGGCCAATCGCTCCCGCTCCCGCTCTATATCTATTTCGGGCTGTTGAATTAGTATGTTATTGAGAATGTCGCTCGCTTCTCTGGACGACTGCTGTCTCGAGCTGGTGGCATTGGGCTGTGAGCGGACGGGTAGTGATGTCGCCGTGGGATTCCCTCGCGAGCTGCTCGTTCTGTGATTCGCATCCTGTGCCATTTGGTGTTGTCGACGGCTCCGAGCGGCAGCCTCGTCTACGGCCGCTGGGTCCATGGTGCCATTCGCATTAGATTGCCGAGATGCGGCGGCGCGATCGGCCGACTGTGTGGCGCGCCGAGAGCTGGTGTTTGGATCATGACGAGACGATGTTCGAGGAGGTACGGCGGTAGGCATATTATTTCGCCTTCTGTCCGAAGACGACGGTGGTTGGTCGGAAGCGATGGAGGTCACGGGAGCCGGAACGGACTGGGCAATGGCGGTGCGGGAGCTCATGTGAGGCTCAAAGCCGGTCGGTTGGTCGTAGGCGCTAGGTCTTCGGGAGTGTTGTTGCGATGATGTGTGCGACGATGATTGTCCGGCGTTGTGCTGGTTTGCATAATAGCCGGAGCCGGGGCCTTCTCGCGTCGTAGGGGGGTCGGGGTGGAACGACGAATATTGGCGATTGGATGGCGAAGTGGTAGCGGATACTGATATGGACTGGTTCGGCGTCGTCTGGAAAGCAGTAGACATTTGATCTGCCCTCTGATGCGCAGAGGAGATGGAGACGGGGGGTGAGGGTGACCGCCGGTGAGGACAGCGAGGTGCGAAGCGAAGCGGCGGACCGACTAGAAGAGGCGCTGGGCAAATGTTTTGATGTTGTGTGTGGGCAAGGAGCTGGCTTCGGCTGGTACTCTTTGGCCAACGCTGCGATTGCCCAGTCCCAGTTGGGTCTCAGGGGGGGGTCTGCTTGTTCTTGCTCGATTTGGTCTGGTACCAGCAGAAACCTGGGCCGGACGGGGGGGAGTCGACGGGGAGGATGGTGGGAAGGAAAAACGAAAGCGAGAGGAGAGAAAAAAAAAAAGCGACGATGGTGCTTGACACGTCCGGGACGGGCTCCCACTTTGAAACACAATGCAACTAAATAAAAACGTTCGAATGCCTGTTTGCGTACAGAGCCAACCAGAGAGACTAAGCAACCGCCTGCTAGCCGACCTCTCTAGCAGTACTAAAATTTGAATCTTACGTATTGAAGCCGGGTCGCTACTGAGGTGTCTTGGCCCCTGAGTTCCGCAGAGTATATTAGGGGTATCGCAAACCGGTGTTGAGGTTGAGTGCCTCCCGTCCTGTCAAAGTGTTGCAGATGCAATGTGTCGGCGACGCGGTAGTAAGACCCAGCAGTCAGGGCCCGGGAGTCCTTGTTTACTTTGGACTCTGAGACTCTGCGACGGGCGGATCCGAGGGTATTCCCGACACTTTGCTGTACGATGACCGTCTTGCTCCGTCGAGGCCGGGCATGCGAATGGAAGTGATCGATGGTGAGGGCGTAGAAAAGGCGTCGCGTTGTTGACTTCAATTTGAGAACTGGATGAAGGAAGTGCAAGCGGCCGTCGTCAATTTAGCGCATCATTCCCGCAGTGCAGGCGGACAGGGCATTCATGTTGCTGCTGTTACCAGGAGCACTATCGGGTACATATGCCCACCGACGCGTCAGGCGCTGAGAAGAGGTACCTTCTCCACTACTTTTACACAGCCGTAACTAACGGGATGGAACCAATCTTACAATCACACAACCTCATGTCAACCATCACAGTTGTATGTCTCCTTTGTCATCATTGGCATGTTTACTGGCGACAACAGTTCCATATCCAAGCCCAACAAGACCGACTCGGCATTTGATCTCATTCTTCTTATTTTACCTCTAGGGTCCTGCAGCTCAATGCTTGCCTATGCAGCACCTTGAGGACCCACAAATGCTACCATCCCACGGTCGGGAAGCATCGTGACGGGTTCAATCCAGCAGCCCTTGCTTGATATCGAATTGGTCAAGATATTTCCTTCCAGAGAATTGAATGTCATGAATCTGGCGAGTTTCAGTCTGCGACCACCTACTTTGGGACAGACAAAGGAATTGTTTGGGCAATGCACCGGCCGCGCATTGCCGTCATCTCGATTCCAATCCGTAAAACCCACTCACTCACCCACTTATCACATCAACTCCAACCGACCTCGAAAAAGACCAAAATGCAAGAAATCTCCGTACCCCCCGCTGCTGGACACAGCCCAGTCATCAACCCTGGACGTCGACTTGGCTCTCAAGCCCAAGCAGAATAGGAGATGACTCTCTCTCACCAGCTCCGCTCATTCCAATTTCAACCGTCTCCAGACAACCACGCTACCGACCAGGCTACCGACCTTCGAAATCTGAGCCAATGATCTACGTGACGCATTTCCTGGCCGGCCCTGCCGTATCCGAATGCACTCCACAGCTTCAGTACAACTCAACTTGAAGGCTCCAAGTCGAGAAACTCCGTCACTGTCGACGTTCGTTTGGCCGTGGTTTGGCGGTTTGGGTACCAGTAGGGTAGCCAAGGCCACGCGCTTGTCCTATTCGGGCTAGACTCTCACGCATCGCTCATCCTCCAGCGCAAGGGTCAGTCAGGGTCGCAGCTTGCAGCACTTGCAGGTGCATGAATGTGCAGCGAACACACATCTTCCACGCGCTTTCAAACCGACGTCGATGTCTACCGGCCAGTTGCTCTCACATACTGCCTACATTCGCAAATTCAACCACTCAAAACATCTCAAAAGCCCATCTGGTGAGACGGTGATTGCGAGGCTGCGACAAAAGGGGCTTCCCTCGTTAAAACGCCTTCCTTCTACGCCTCTCGTCGCGAGCTATGGCCGTGTTAGCCATGTTTACCGCCAGATTAAAATCCCGTACACTGGAATCCCCTTTCCATCCCGTTTCATAGGAGAATCAGGGAGCATTGGGAAGCATTGACCTCTCGGACGATACTGATCGCCAATCGATCCATATTCCAGGGATCTTTTCTTCCATGGAACCGGCCAAACTTCTTTTTCCAGGTCAACATTCGCATCCTTGAAAGGGGATGGTGTGTGGCTGCCTGCCCTTTTCACTCATGAAACATCTGTAATGACGTTGTATGACAGCAGGAGAACCTCACAGGCCTGGGTCTTACCCATATTGACAGATATCAGACCGGGTGCCAGAAGGAACTTGTGCCAAAAAGGGAGGTATCGTTCACGAGCCAATTGATTCACCGTCGCATGGCACTTTTTTTTTAGATGTCACCGCGGTTTACCGGGTCAGACGTCAGAACCTACTAACGTTTTACCATCATCGCTTTTTGTCCTTCAACGACGATTGCAGGATGCGGCTCCAATCGAACCCTTCTTTGTCTGGAGCCCCAACCAGCCGGGAACTCTCGCTGCGCGCATACAGTAGAGGTATGTATACGATATTTCGAGATCTCAATGAATCCAGAAATGGGCAAGCGACCAGCCAACACCCAACCGGCTGCCGACCCCGGATTTACACACGACTCGTACATCAACATTCCACCATAAAGCTGCGAACACCTGAAAATGGAAAACCCTAAAGTCCGGGGTTTAGGGCGGAGAACTAACAAAGGCCTACGAAAAAGGTACAAAACTCGCTACTGTAAGGGGCAGAGTGCTTGCAGGTTCGGGTGTGTCAGCCTCCCATATCCCAATTTAACATCTGGGAATACAGTATCAACCCCTGAAAGTGCAACTAATCCGGGCTGCCAAAATCTTTTGCACTTTCTAGGTATTTGCACTTGGAGGATCTGGTGCACAGACTATAGAGCCCCCCTCCGGCCACTAGAAAACGCCCGGTCGCACCGGAAAAGTGGGACCTCAGAGCCCCGGTAGCCGGGTATAAGTGTCCTCTCCACCAATATCAGACCCCTATAGGTACAAATCCGGGCTAAAGTCTTTGCACTTTGCAGTTTGCAGGTTTTGTATGGGAAAACAATTCCGGCCGCCAGATTCTTTTGCACTTTGGGGGGTTTTTGCACTTGGGGGTGGTTGCACTTTCAGGGATCTTTACTGTACCACTTTGCGTATGTAATTGGACATATGAGTGGTACGTACCCCCATATATATCTTACATACGTTGTGCTGCTACATACATAGATCGGACTTTGAGGGAGATCAAGTCAGGAAACAATTGCCCACTCTCACGCATGAACAGATACCCTGACTGACCTTACTTTCACGCATGGCGGCTCTTCAAACTCCAGGCGGTTTCCTGGGACATCGATGATGATCCACTGCATAGCTTGGACTAGCATCCTGATAATCTCAAAATGAACGGCCCCCCCGTAAATGGCCATGTTGCCACAGCGACCTGACTCAAGTCAGGAAGCATAAAGATTCCAGAAAAAGCAGCACGATGATGTTCATACAGGACTTCTTCCAGAAACGCTTTTAATTATAACATGGAGATAGGTTGCGGCTGAATTGTTGCACGACATGTTGTCTTGCGTTGCGAGGAACAGCGCTGGGTTGCAGGTGACCTTCAATAACGGGTTAGTCCCTTTGGCGGAGTGGTTAACGCGCTGCCCTGCTAATCGCAAGATAGCATGTTAGGCAGTTCCCTCGATGTACATGTCGACTTTGTATTCAGTAGTTTCCTCCGTTTGCACACTCATTTCCAAAATTTACACGACGGCAACCAACATGAGTTCTTCCACACTTCAACAAAGACGGTACCATTAGCTACTCAAGTTAGATGTCCAATTTTAGTGGGCTCCCCTTGAGGGGCGTTACTCAATGTGACTTGATCAACATTACAGCAAACAATCACTCTGCATATCCTCACAACTTGATCGTAACATTATACACATCCAACCCAACCGCCACCGCCGTCAAAACACCCATGTATCCAACCAATATCCCCACCGTTGCCACCCGGCCGACATCCAGCGTTGGCACCGTCATATTGACCAGTCCCGTCAACAAGTTCGCCAACAAGAAGACGGCCAGTCCGTTCCGGTTATACGCCCTCAGCACCTTACTCGTCGCCGTGTCATACAGCTCCTTCTCGGTCTTGGCGTCCTGAGCGCTGTAGAACGAAGGGAAAAGGAGCGCATCCACAAGGTAAAAGGCGAGAAGCAGGACGGCGTTGGAGGCGGCCACCCAAAGCATGTACGGCAGGTTGGCCATGCGGCGGGACACGGTCAGGCCGAAGCCGTACTTATAATCGGTCGCGAAGAAGTAAAGTGCTGTCCAAACGAGGGACCGAGCGGCCAAGTTGAGCAGGAGAGACCTACGTTGGACGGTGCCGCTGATCTTGTTGGAGCCGCTGGTGCGGCTCAAGGTCCGCGGGAGAACGAGCATCCCGGTGTCTTGGCCGGCAAGGAAGATGGCTAGATAACCAAAGAAGCTAAAGATGCCTTCCCTGTTCATGGACAAGAGATCGGTTCGCGGTCCGGTCAAGATGTAGGCCTTCAGCGACGTGGTCTCCAAGAGGACCTGATACACCACACCCAGAAGAAGGGCCAGGCCAGCGTACGAGGGAACCACCTTGAGCGCGGACTGGAACAGCGCGACAAAGGGCGGCAGGAAGCCCAGAGTGAAGAAGAAGTTCCAGTGCACGCCGTACTCTGTCACGTGCTCGGCGTAGTCCAGCCCCTTGACGCTCAACAAGCGGATGAAGCCCAGCACGAGGAGCGGCAGCGAGTGGCGCAGCGACGTCTTGAGGCGGGTGCTCAGGGGTGTGGCCTTGCCCTCGGCGCGCTCCTTGAGCACCGGCCGCGAAGCGACGACGCCGGCCGAGAAGACGAAGGCGCCGACGCCCATGTCCATCAACGAAGTGCCCCATGTCTCGACCTTGGCGAAGCGGCGGGGGAACAGACGAAAGTCAACGGCGAGGATGCAGATGCAGGTGACGATAAGCATGTTGCCGCGGTAGTTGGTCAAGAAGGGCTTGGTGGAGAGGACCCCGAGGGTTTGCTCCGAGGAGCTCTTCTTGGACTGGGCATTGGGAGGAAGCTGGGGCTTCTTCCTTCGGGTATGGGCGGGGACGATGTAGACAAAGGCGGCGACTGTAAGGAGAAGCAGGTTGAGGAGCAGGGGCGCGGAGGAGTATAGCGTCACTGAGAGCAGGAGAGCGCCGACATTGAGGAGGAAGTCGATGGCATAGCCTAGTGGTGTGTAGGGCCTGAAGAAGGATTGTCGAGCTTGGAGGACGGACCAGACGAGCGAAACGACCTAGGAGAGAGACAGAGATTAGCTCCCGTCATTCGACTTGTGATATGATGCCACGGACAGCAGCATCCCATTCCGATGCTCCCGGGATTGTGTTGTTTCATACAGGTGCTACGGCGCAGACTTGTGCGATTTCAGAAACGGAGCCTCCTGACAGGTTTGAGACAAAGTCCTCTTTGAGCTGCTTGTAGCTCTGGGTTGTTGTCGAGTTGGTAGCCATAGCCGTTCGACGTGCGCAATAAGGTACCGACGTTCGAGAATGACGGGAGGTGATGGGCGGTCGTAGGAGATGGGGAAGGGTGAAGCTCGACGGCTAGCGACACATTTCTCCGGGAAGTGATTGGCCCTCTTGGTTTTGAACTGGTGGCGGCAACCAGAAGTTGTCAGAATGAGTAGTGATGATGTCTGGGGGAAAAGTGTCAAACAACAGCCTCGCGATGACAAGTTGCAAGTTTCCCAGCTGGTCTCAGCCTTCCAGAGGCCGTTGTCCGACGACGTCAACCAATCGTGGAGGGAGCTTGAAGGTGCCAAGACCAAGCCCAACGGCCTGGGGTCACCCTACAGCGGGCCCGTCCAGCAGCACAGACAACTGTGCATTTGAGGCTTACAGGGGGCCTGGTGCCTGTCTATCATAAACACCAACTTCAACATCACCATCTTTGACATCACCAACTTCATCTTCACATGCTCTAGCCTTCATCGTTTGCAACCTTGGCGCCTTTGTCTCACAATCCGGTTGGTTTGCCGAATGGCGAGAACAGAGTCAGAAGCTCAACCTCGCTTCCCAACATGTTCTCCTCGGTTCCACATTCTGATGGCGCCTCCCCGTCTTTCTTTGTTCGGCCGTGTCCCATTGCAGCGGTAAGCTGAGAGATAGCTCGGCATGTTGCGACTGACATTTCACAGCTCAGAATTTTCACACATCCTTTTGTCTTTGTTCAATATCTGCCCGTAGGCGATATATCACCGAGGAGCTTTGTCTTGCAGGACTGCATCTGACTCAACGGGCTCCGTGAATCAAAGCAGCTCCTTTCTTTCACTCTGTCCCTTGTCAAGAAAGACAGACGCAGGACGACAAAAGACAAAAGAGGATGGATGCGTCCGTTATCATTACCATGTCCTCACCAACAAACTACCAACAACCTCTTGGCCGATGTGCACCAGACACACTGAGAGTCATATACTAGGAACTGGACCTCGAACCATCTGTGCATCGTTGAGACTATCAAAACTCAAACCAACACAGCCAGCTAGTCACCATGGAGACCCAGACCAGAACACGACCGAAACTGGAGCCAGTGCGGATTGAACCATTGCGCCATGGGTCGCCTGGAAGCACGAGACCACCTCCTCGTTCTCCGCGTCGTCGTCTGTCTATATTCGCGCCAGCCCTGAGGACCCATAGTCTCCCTAGTCCCCTTCATCCTACCACGCCAGGGCTGGACCAAGGGATGAGGCGACACGAACGAGCAATGCTGGACAGTCTCGACCAGCGGAGACCATCTCAGGCTCGCAGAGACTCCGTTCAGCTGCTGCCTCCAATCCCCGAGCAAAGTCCACCGTCACGAGAGCGCCCGTATAACGACTACTCACCTCCTCCTACCTTGGCAGCTCGGACTCGCAACCACCTCCTGTACGGGCTTCCCGATTCCCAGCTTTCACCTACTAGCACTCCTGCGGGTATGGGGCGCCGCCAGTCGATGCCCACGGGTTTGACATCAGCGTTACCGACATCAATACCTTCAGCAGCGCTCCCATCACCAGTACGAGTCGTGCGTCAGCAGATTGGTATAGGTCGACGAAAAGCCCAGGAGCTTTATGGAAAGCATATCTTTCAAGGATGTTTGGTTAAGGCAGTCGATCTCCGGAAATTCAGCGAGAGTTCAGCAAGCGGCGATAGTCCAGCCCCCCAAGAGGTGGTGATGGATAAGATGGGTCAGAAACTCAGATACGCTGCGAAAGCATGGTCGCCCGGAAAACCTCAAGGTCGTCTCATTACCAAGTACTTTTCCCAGGCAGAGCTAAGAAAGGCCATTCCAAAAGACGCCCCGGAGCCATTGGAGGTACCCAGGCATGCAACAGATCACCTGAGTCCGAGGAGAGCTTCTTTAAGTACCTCTAAGGAGCGCCGTTTGGATAAGGAGCATCGTCGATTGTCCGCCCCGATACTATCAGCAGACCCATGGAGCGAAATGGCACTACCAGTTCGTAAGTACCTTCAAACATGTTATGTATCTGAAGAGTTACTAATGTTGTCATAGACTATCATTTAGCACGCTACTTCTTCCCGCTCATTGCTGTATATCTGCAGAGCGGGAATGTCGAACCTGAGGACATCGTGGAACTGCCGATGCCTCACCCAAAGGCGTGGTACCAAACCTTCCGCTACGCTTGCACTGAGCAGGGAGAGTTAACCGATGCCATCAGGGAGAACATCACACATCTAGGAGGGAGGGTGTGAACGGAGGGGACTATCTCATTGTGCCTACCAGAAATGGTTTGTCCAACGAGTATTGGGCCATGGAATAGTCTAGGACAAAAGGAAAGCGGCTCGTTATCTCGCGCAATCGAAGCATCAATGCCATATGATCCCGGACGGGAACTGTGCAACCACATTTGTGGCTTTCATCCTTGTACGTCTTTGTCTGTGAACTTCATCCTTTGCTTCCAGAAGCCGCTTTCATGAACAGATAGGCGAAGCACGACCAACAGTAACTTGCCCATTATCATTTTCCCGCTCGAGTGCCAACTGCACTCGAAGACGCCTATAGATGCTATTGAACCCTTTGTTACGGGACGTTGGTGGCATCGCAGTCAAGCCGGCTTTCACCCCTACCTTTTGATCTAACTACATTTTTCAGATGAAAAGCTTCTGGAGCACCAGAGACCGAAACAATCACCCGCCTGTTGCGGACGCCACACACGTGTACATGATATTATCTCCAAATCATTAGGGTTTGGCGAGTCCTGTACCGGTACCCAAACGGCTGAGTGTCCTCCGGTATACACGGGTAACTCGTGGTCGTGGAGAAACGTCACCATGGCTCTGATGACAACTCGTCCATGTACACTGATGTATAGCCTTGACAACTTTCACAACGACCTTCATCCGAGCCGTGGACCAGTACAGCATACCATGGTTGAGGAAACAGGCTCGAACAGACCTATATACAATACCTCTATTTCAAACACTCGTCTAGGAAAGCCACAAAAATAGGACTACCCAGTCAGTGACCTATTTCATTACGTTCCGCAGCTACGACGCTTTAGGATCACTGATCCCACTGCCCCTTACATTCAAACTTGCGGCGCGTTGTTCAGGCTGGGGATATGGCATCTTCCTGGAAGAAACACCCAGGTTGCAAGCTTGTGGCACTCACTTGGTCTATCAGACAGCCCAACATCTAACCAGTCTTTCCAGCAGTGAACACGTTCATCTGGCTAGATTCCCCCGATGTTTGTCCGGTCTATGCATACCCAAAGACAATGATATTAGATCTATCTTCCAGCCATCTCGCTGAACGTATAGAAGACATAGTTTTCTTCTGAAGACTCCAGCTTCGGCTATATCCTGGGTCTTCATCGCGAGTATCATGTTATCTTACACATCTCTCAATGCAGATGATAGCCTGCTCTCACATGCCCTACGTTTGGAATTTGTTTTAGAGGGTAGAATTCCTTTCTACTTCACACCGCTGCTTTTGTCGGTTGAGTCAAAGACATTCATGATGTGCCTATAGCTTTTGATATCTCCCCAAACCCCCCATGCAGCGAGTTCTACTCCCCGATCACGCCTGCCACTGATAATTTATTTCAGGCTTAACGTCTTTAACCCTTTGTGTCCCGAGTACGTCCTTCAATAAACAGCTTAAAGATGCAGTGCCGGCTCACGCCCGTCATGCGTAATCGCAATTCACGAGTATCTTTGCTATGTTCTTCGGTTCACTGGTCTGTCACTCTTTTCAGGCTCGCTACACTCAACTTTCCGAGGACACTGCTCCTCAGTTCATTCTAGCAACATCATTTCATCACGGGAGGTTGTTAATTCGAAGGCCGAGGTGTTCAAGGAGGCCGCGTACGCAATACCCATATCTGCACTTACTACCTCTGTCTATCCATGAATAGGCGGCGTTGTTGGATTCCTATCCGACATCCAATCACGTGTTATGGTAGCGCCTGGCGATTTCAAGAGCGAGAACCACGATCGCTCCTGGTTTGTCTGGACTTCCTCTACCTCCAGCATGCAGCGTCTTTTCACGGTCTCTCATAACATTTGTCACTCCTTTATCTGAGGCGCTACATTTACTCTGTTTCCTGACAAGACATCTCCTTGCCCCAATATTCTGACTACTCTCCGCGACCAGCACATACTGACTGCTTGACTGGCACCGATCTCATATTTTTCTGTTGCTCCCTACCGCACACCGTGGTCAGCATCTCGACCAATCTCCCGTTACGTACAACCACGTTCACAAGCACAGCCTGGTTGAACACCACCTGCATGACCACGCCGACACCGATCATCATCGACATTGTACTCTTCATATGGTTGCAACCCCAACGCAAAAACACGAAGGTGATCGTCCTGAACATTGCCTCATGAGGCTTTCCGAAAGATTGCTCTCACCTTGCCCAGCTCATTTTATTTCAACCATCGAGCTGCAGGTTGTGGTTATGGCTCCATTCACCAAAATCCTCCCCCAACCCCCCAGCATCCCGATCTTCAGGCCAGGTCCCGGAAGCTTCAAATCACTATTCTTTACCCTATCTCGATCGTTCGAGACGACAAAATTCCCACACAGTATCCGTGAGTTTTCTTAAATTTGCTCTTCTGTGAAGCAAAACCTGCACAGTGTACAAGAAGGTGTTCCCACTCCGTTGACGGAGCCCGTTTTTCTCAGTTTTCTGTCAACGACGTCGACAAGCCAAGATCCAAGACCAAACCAAACCCACTCCCCACACTTGACGATCCACACAGTTTCTAAAGATCTTGCGAACTGATAATCCAGAATCAACACTATCGACGGCAACGCAAGGTCAAGGGCAGCACGCAAGTCTACGTAAGTCTACTCGCGTACAGCGCATGCTAATTCCCGGGCGGACCGTGGACTACCGCTGGGGCCTGCCTCGACTCAGATCAGGACATCTGGATGGAGTTGCCTTTGCTAGTTGATTTTGGCGAGTCTCTTTTCATGTAGTACATAGTAAAATGCTGAGGGCTAGATGCAGGCTCGAGTCGAGGACCGCAAAGATGTCAAACGGAGGAAAGTCATTTATTAAGCGAACGAAGGCTTTGGGGTATATGCTCCTCGACGACTGAGGTCCCTTTTCTGCATCTGCCCTCCGTTCAGTTTCGGGAATTAAAGAAAAACGTCACCGGACACATAGTATGACAACAACAGTCTCACTCCCCACACACACAATGACACCCACAGCTCGCTCGCTGTGGATATCTTTCCACATCAGAACCACCACAACCACTTCCCTAACAGGCTACTTACCGACACACGCCATCCCACGTCAACAAGGTCCAGGCCTGTTTCGCAGAGGACCTATCGGGGAGGGATCGGGGAGGGATGTGATTCAAGGGTCTTCCCCCTTCAGCCCTTTTTGACGTGGTCCCCTGAACCTAGGTAGTGTAGAAACTTTAGTGTTGTACGTACACCCTTTATGGTTCTCCGTTTTCGTCTGAAGACCAGTCTGGCAAGCAAGTAGTCTGTCTGGTCTGTCTGTCTCCATTCTGGCCCTGATTCTTTGGCGTTTTCTCTTTTGGAGTTATATCACATCAACCGTTGAAGTAACATAGACCCCCGGGGCAAAGGAGAAAAAACACAACCGGAACTCTTGTTGTTTGGACAAACCAGAACCAGACGGCCCTTTTTGAGGGGAAGATCTAGTACCCCCTACCTTTACACCGAATGCTACAGTTTTCCCAAAACACCGGGACCTAACTTAGGCCATCCTTGCCAAACTGCTACATAAGTCCCATACCGTCACGACGCCAGAACTGTGTGCGTTGACATGACATGTCCACCTTACGTAAAGCATGCTGCTTTAAACAGATATTGGAAAACTTCATGATCATGGAGTCAGTTGTCGGGAAGCTGGAAATGCAAGCTTGTGTTTCAACGTAGTGTAGACAGTTCCGGATCCGGACTTTGCCAACGTTTCGATGAGTACTAGCACGTTGGGGACTAGACTGGAAAGCACGTGCAGACTACAACACACAAGAGATGGCCAGATGTAGGTACATATGTACATACCTTACTAGCTAAAGTGTGCCTTGCACAACTGTATCTCGATAGACATCAGGACTGGCTCCGGACTTAGAGCTGGAGATAGATGACAATATGTGCCGAGGATGATCGTTACCAAGCCTTAGTCATCCGCTATTTCCCGGAATAGTTGGCGAAGGCCGAATATTCAGAGCATATGCTATGTGTCTCGAACATCAAGTGTGAGTTGGTGGAATTAAATCCCAGCCAAAAAGAGGAAAGAACGGTTATGACTTGAGACTATTAAAATCCTGGCATCAAGGGACGTGTTAATTGCTGTTAGTCAGTTACTGTTCTAGAGCATCGGGGGCTACAGCACGCTCTTTTCTTTTTGTTCATTCTGTCAGTTGTTACACATTACATTTAGGTCACCTGTCTGTGCAAGACCCGGTCGATTGGAGCCCCAAAATATCCTTTAACTCTCCTTGCTTTCTTTTCCATAAGTTTACGGACACTGCTTTAGGTGACTACATATTTTGGTCGTAAACAAACAGAATAATAGACCTGGAAACAGAAGATGCCTACATAATGTCATGTAAACATCCCGTTGTTCTCACCTACCTACGGCAATCCTTTGGAGTTTGTTCTCCACCAAACGATATCCTCCGACATATGTAGCAGACTTTTCCCTTCTCTGTACGCACTCATAATATTCAATACGCTTACATCCATCATCCATGTCACTTCCTCTTGAACGTCCAGTTAGATGTCTATATGAATTTCTGCGCCCCATAGTAACTAACTCTTTGGGACCCAAAAGACTGGAGTGGAAAACTGACTTAAGTGGTCTAAGTGGATGAGTGAAGTGAAGTGACCCCATTCCCAAGAATGACCGAATGAACCAGCGACGAACGGGTCCCGGTTCAGCGAAGGTGTGAGAGTTTGAGGAAGAGTCGATACGTACCACATAGTCTTCACCTTTGTATGCCTCCGCTACGTGACCACTCTCACCTCAACTTACCGTACCAAAAGAACCCCCAAAGAAAACCTACCCTCCGGGTTCCAGATCTGAACGTGGGTCGCATGTTCCTGACCGGAGTACGGATAGATTCGGTGTAACCCACACACAGGAACACAGCCACAGGAGCACACACATGGCCATCCTCCAGTGCTTCCTCTAGCCCGCCTCGGGGCCTTCCCTGCGAACCTGCGGACCTGCGTCTCAAAAGGGCAAACTAACGGGTACGCTATACACATCGTACATATGTACCTTATACGTGTCGTGACGAGCGTCGGCCAAGTGTTGCGTGTTGTTCCCATGGATCTGGGTCTTTCTCCTCCCCTTACATGCGACCCCTTTTTGCCTGCATATGTCCCCCTATCTTCCGCGTTTCACGAAACCTTCCAAGGCATCTACCGCCATTTTTTTGATGTCTGGGTGCAGGAGAAGACAGAGAGGGAGTGATATAAGTGGCTTCCAAGACTGAGATACCCCATCTGAACCGGTCTTGATTTGAGTGGGAGAGAGTGGGAGAGGTGATGTGAGTGGAAGGCCGGAGGACACCAAGGTAAGGCACCTTAGTCGAGTGTCCTGTAGACATACGTTGATGGAGGTACGGTGCCATTTCAGGGTTCCCCTGGGTAACAAGAAGTCAGCAGTAACGGTATATGGCAAGCTTCGACTTGTGGACCAACTTAATTGTTTAATGCGCTGGGCGTGCGCTATTGTGCTGCTGTCGTTGTCTGCCTCGAATGTTGCCGTTGCTGTTCAAGGAGAGTCCGAAGGCAGCAAGGAGTATCCCCGGGCCCGTTGCGCAAAATCCAAACAGTTGTCGTCGGACCTGGCCGGGCACAGCCGGGTCAAGGGGACGTTTGTATGCCTTTCTGTCTGCCAGTCTGCCTCATAAGCATCAGGTGAGGTCGGGTTACTTTTAATAGTAGAGTTAGTTGCCTACACACTTTGATATTGGTTACCTACCTCACTGTGTAGCATCGTGAAGTATGTCAATGTCACAATGTTAGCGTTGCCGGCAGTGTTACTACCCTAGGGTCTGATCGTCTTCCTTCTTGCCCGTCAATCTGGACGCCTTGGGTCTGATGTACGGTGCAAATGGCATGGTACAAACATGTATGATGGTGTCAGAATAGCGCTGAAGCAAAGAATAGGAAAAGCAAGGAAAAAGAAGGGGGAAAAAAAGAAAAAGACGTAAAGCCAATAGGGTAAAGCCACTCGCACCGTTTCAAGCCACCCCGTGGCCGTCCCGCCCCTCCTTCTATGCTGTCTCAGCACACTGTCACCGTAGCCCTCAAGGTTCTACAACCTCCGTGAAGAAACGTTCAAAGACAAAAAGATAGAAATAAACCAAAACACCGTATCTCGTGCAGGTGAGACCAGTGGGGGTTCTGCGGTGACTTCACCAGCGCACCTACATGGTACATTTTGCAGTCTTCCACTGAAGCCAATCAACAACGTTACTGGCGCCATAACTCCTCACTTTGTACCTTCTTCGTGTCCTCAGCTTGCGACCCGGCGACGTGATGACGCACGTACTTGGGCACTACCTGTTTGTGCCGTTAGCGAGAGAAGTGCAGCAGTGCAAGAGGAAACGGTTGAGAGAAAAAACTGAACAAGACGGAGGAGAGAACTGAAATGTGCACAGCATTGCACTCGGCGGCACCTAAAATGAAGACTTCAAATGTTGATAATCTCACCCCGCCTGCCGTTTTCGCAGCTGAGAGCGAGATCCGTCTCTGTTCGGCACCCCTCCCCACCCTCCGCTGTCGAGATGTTTCTCACAATTCAAACATCTCCACTTGCCCCAGCTTCATCTCCGTCCCTCAGTAAGGAATGAAGAAAATCAACCCGAGAGGCCAGCCTTTTCCTTTCCTGACTGTCATGGACGTTGAAGTCGGTGCTATCCCATCCGGTGCGGATCCCGGGGTATCCCGGAGCCTTCTTGGGAGGAGTAGGGCCAAGCGGGGGCGGGGCTTCCTTTTGCGCACCCACCAGTCGCATTCTCTCAATCATCGGGCGCCCATCTCCCGGGGTGGTCCTTCTCTCGTCGTCGCCGTGTCTCCTCCTACGATTACGGCCCCAAAAACCTCTTCCGGACAACGGCGTGCTGCACCGATTGCGGATCCAGATTACGGAACCCACTTGCGGTATATTGTGGATCACCGGGTTGCGGGATTGCGGATTCTCCGCAAAAAAGTGCGGCTCGTGGAGGGGATTCCCTGGCCTTTGTTTCTCTCGTTTGCGGGCTTTTGGCAATAACGGCGGGCGAACCCCATCCACTTCCACTTCGGAGCAACGGTGCAATCTGCTACAGCATGCACGCTGTCGGCTCTCCTGCCCAATCCTCCAAATGCTTCGCAATCTCTTCCTCCACTATGGTGACCTGGTCTCACTCTCAACTCCTCAAGCCTCAACAACAAACTGCCGTGCTACACCCGTGCTTGCTGTCCTCTTTCCCACTTCACGATGCCGGCATCTTCCCGGCACAACCCCGCAGCCGGCCGACGAGGGACTGCCTCCGCGGGGCCTAGTCTCCATCAGCTTGTCCGCATTTGAATTGCCTCTTTCTTCAGTCCTCACACGCCCTTCACAGGCAAGCGAATCTACGAGTAAGGTCCGGTTACGTCGGCTTCGCTTCGCCGTTTTGCGCCAGAGGCCAGAGGCCAGGTAGGTACTCAGCATCGAGCCGTGGACATTCGTTCAACTTGCCATCCGATGAGACATCACTTCCCGTGTCTTGAGCTCCAGCGCAAGATCTCCTCGAGATTAATGCTCTGCCCTTGTGCCAGGTGTGCCGCCGAAGAAGCACCAACGAGGTTGGCGTTTTGTCTTAGCACCCGATAAGCTTGATAGATAGAACATTTGATCGACATTGTGATGGACGGCGGCGCAACGATTCGGGCTCCCAAGTGCAGCTTAGCTCCGAAGTGAACTGCAACCCAAAACCAGATCGCCAAAGTTGCACTAGACCGTTGAATCGCCCACCATCGCTAATATAAGTGTTCCATCACCACTTCGTCAGTAGAGTATATCGATAGCATCCTGTCGTAGAGCAGTCAGGTCCTGCAGTGCTGCACAGAACTGCGGCTCGCTTGCCCTCACATCTCGGCCCGGTTCATCCTGTCGTGCTTCACGTCGCTGGCGCTGTTGACATCATGGGCCCTTAGCCGGTTTCCCATTATAGGTACCTGCGTAATCATCTACGATTATGCTATGTCATCAGCCGGTCGAGCTTGTTGCAGATAGATCCAAGTTAACCTTCTCACCACCTCAGGCAATGCTACCAACCCTTTGATGAGGGTGGTGTGAGGGGCCTGGTCTTGCGCAGCATCGGATAGTACCAAGATTGTTATATCCTTATCAAGCACAGCAATCTCTTATGGCTTTGGTGTGGTATGGTATGGTATGGTATGATGAATCGCCTTTGACCTGTTGCGACGCTATAGCATCACACCATAGCAATTTGGTTGATGGTGTGTACACCCATGCGGTTAAATCTCGATGCCGATTCGCACCTGGCTCTCCGTACAGTTTGCCGAAATATCGTAAACGATGCTATTAGCTTCTTCCCGCTTCCGGTTTGTTTTCTTTTGCGTAAGGTTAGTATGGTTTTCGTTCTCGACATTCAGTGACTGTTGCTCTCTGTTGTTGCGTCAAGCAACGTCAAGCAACGTCAAGCAACGTCTCCCCTGTCAGCTTTCGACATATGGTATGTAGTAACGGACACCTACATAACTACCGTTATGAAGCCCTCCGATGATGAGGTTGTATTAGCATGTAGTCGCAGGTACGGCCGTACAGAGCGCTCCCGACAACACCGTGATGGACAGCTTTGCAGGAAAGTTGCCCTCTTGAAGTCCCATATACGGGGTGCCATCGCGGTTTTCATTAGTGATGGATTTGCTGTCGCCCAGTCCCTGTTTTGGTGATGCCCACACATACATGTAAGACATGAACTAGTTGATGCTGTGCGTGGCGTGAGGATGGCGAACGAATCTTCAGCACAAATCACCATGGTGGTGGCGCCGCATCTTTGGAAAGCTTGGTTTCCTGGATCCCAAGAGCAGCAGACGGAGTCGATCTCCACACAAAACGGGGGGAAAATGACAAAACTCGAGTTTCTGCTTCAACTTTGAACTCACCTGAGTACACTACGATACCAATCTTGTTCGGCATCTTCTCCACAGTGTATTTCCCATGGCCACAAGCCCCTCACTTTTTCTCTTGTCGTCCTGCCCCATTTCCCCGCTGGTCCACCACTTTCGTCACACTGCCCCGAGAAGTTGAGACTTGAGACCTAGACGCGCCATAAGTGGCTGGGGTTCTTGGGTGCTGACCTCGAACTCATGTGGCCTTCCCGAGACATTGGCACTTCTTAGCGCCGCTCGACAGTGCCAAGTTTGACAGAACCAGGCTTGTCAGATGTCGATTTGCGGCATTGATCGAACAAGAAGTCGTGGTCCAGGCCCTGGAAACGACATCTGGGAACTTATCGGAGAATGTGAAATGAGCCCCACCGTAAATGCTCCTGTCACAGGCACGCCTAGGGGTCCGTTTTGTGCGCAGAATGCGACTTCCGAACCCTGCAAGCCACCCCGCCAACCATCACCACCAGGAAGTCTCCATTGAGGAGACGCAGGTCCGAGAGAAAAGGGTTAAGCGTCTTGTGAATGGAGAGGTGGGTGAGGCTGGGGTTTGAGCTCTCGAATCTGCGATTGAGCGTCATGTTGAAGTCCTGTGAGAGGCCTAGAGAGCCAGTGTTTCCGTATGTCCTCAGCAGAAGGGCGACGTTTTGACAAAGACATCATCAGTTTTCGACATCCAATGTCACCTACAGTTACTGTACAGCACATTAGCGAATGGCAGGCCCGGTGTCTGGACTTGCTGGGATTATTAGCTGTTCTAGGGGCGATGTAACACCCCACGCCCTCTTGACGCGATCTAGCGTTCACAGTTAGCTTGACTAGGCAGGCCAAGCCACGACAATTTTCAGACTCTACCGGCGACGTAAATGGTGCTCAACAAGGGAAACGTTGTCTGGATCCAGTATCATGATTTTTGCTGCCTCCAATCGCTGCGGCACAGGTAGGCTCGAATTGTACGTATTTCTCGGATGCGTGTTGCTGTCGTGGGTTTGTGGGTGGGGAGGCGCCATGCGGAGGCAGAGTTTGTTGTTGTGATTACTGTGTACACGTCGCCTGGAGGCTCACGTCTGGGAGCGGTAACCGAACAGCCGAAACAGTGCGTTGGGGTGAAGAGCCGAATAGGAAGGAGGAAGGTTCCTGCTAGGAGCGAACTGTTAGCGAGATCAATCATCAGCACCTCTATGGCCAAGATATGGACGGAGAAGGGGAACACTGTACAGATGCAAGCTTTAACCAGCCATGGTGTTTTCGGTGGAAAGGATTGTTCTTAGGTACAGTAGTGTAGGTTGCCTTGTGTGGGCTTGGAACCGAAGCGACTCGAATTGCAAGTTGTGACCGGAAAAGTGGAAGGCAAGGCAAGACGAAACATCCTCGTCCGGCATACTGTACCTGCCCAGGGGCATTCGATCCTTATCTCCCAGAGAATTTGCGAGTAAAAAAGGAAATTGGGAGGTGAAAAATCCGTGCAGTCGTGACGTCTCGTTGACGCCATTGCGGGAGAGGACAAGAGCGAGAAAGAAGTTGCGACTTGCGAGATCAATGCCAAAACTTGGGGTCGCGGACTGGACTTGCCTCACTTTGAGGTACTGTAGCCATGATGTAGGTCCCTGTAGGCAGGTACTCACCACTGCTACATACCTCCTTCATGATCAATCATCTCGTATTTTGGAAGGAACCAAACAGGCAAAGACAGCAGGCAGCAGAGGCAGGCAGTGCCTGCAGTTCGGCCCGAACCAACAGATTGTAGACATCTGTCAAACTCCATTTCTGTTGACTGGAATCCTTCAGCATGTTACCTGCTTTGGAATCATGGGTCAATATCAGTGTCCGCGTTGGGTTTGTGACCAGGCATTGGCTTTGGAAGACTTTTGAAAGCCACCATTAACGAAGCCACGGCCAAGGCCCCATGACGGGAAGGACATGCACGTCATGCTTCACCGCGGCTATAAACGCAAGATGGCCCTGCCGCTTTTGGCTTGCTTGATGCCGATTGTCGAGCCGTTCTCGTGATAATTAATTTCTTCTTCTTTGCGGGGCTGCCGATCCCGCCCGCCTCCTCGTAGGTGCTGTACATAAAATGTACTGTAGCTGCGCTCCTGCAATGGAGGTCACTGCAAGATGCCCGTGTCAAAGTCATGAAAATGTCAAGCCAAGGGACTCTTGTCAGTTCATCCGGAAACACAGGGACCTAGGGAGGGGAGGAGGAGGGGCTGGGCTAGTCATGCCCGCTGAGATAAGCGAAACCGATAACGGTCGAGAGCAAAAATGCTAATGGTTGAGACCCGCGCAACGTCCAAGTCTACCTATCCGGAGCGCAATATCTCAGCCAAAAAGGCCGCGAAAATCGTGATTCTTTTTGGCAACGCAAATTGGCCGAATTAAGCATCTCAGAATCTTTACAATTTGTAGCGCAAAAGGAGTCGGTGCGCGAGGGTTTGGGGTGAAATGCTATGAAGTTGAAGATGGTAGTTTCGCTCAAGACTTTGGCCCCTTGTTGCCAGCCGCTGCCCAATGAGCGCGCGAGCAGATGTGGGTCAAGGCTTGATGCGCTGCGACTTGGGCGTAAAAAGCTGCCCCGGGTCTCAACCGTTACCATTTTTGCTATCAACCGTTACCGATTTCGAACATCAAGAGGCCCGGTCCCCGTTCGGGGGCTGCGGATGGTGACGGTAGGGCCAGGGACGGGGACGGGACCAGGGCCAAAGGCAAGATTTGCCAGGGCAGGGGAACTAAACAAAAGCTGGACGATCTTGGACGAACTCCGGGCCCTCGCTCGAGCGGGGCGATTTGGAGCAAATAAGATGGGGCATCCGCATGTAGATGCCGTCTTGCCGTTCTCACTATTTTCTCCAGATTTTGAAATCCGGATTGATGGCCCATCCGAGCTTGGGCCCCGTCGTTGACTTCCAATACCCGACAGCATAGTATTCAAATGCTACACCACCAAAACATATCTGCTCGATGATGCCATAACATCACAGCAGGCAGACTGATAATGAGGGGTTTTGCACCATTGACAACCATCCCTGGGAACGGATACGTGGTGGGTAGGATACCCCAGCCTACAAGACCATCACGTCAACTGAATCGACTGATCAAAATTAAAGCTTGAATTAAACACCAGCCAAAAGCGGGGTGGCTTTTATGGAATGTGATCTCAAGACTCTGCTTGTTGACTTACATGGTATTTCCCCTTGCAGTCCTGTCAACCATGCCGTGTAACGCACCCTGTTGGTTGAGCGCCCCTGTTTCTTTTGCTTTGAAGCATGATGGCTTGCAGTTGACCTGTTGTGTGACATGAGGCCCTGGCCAGCATGTTTTGAACACAGTCAAAACGGTCTTCTACCGACACGACGTGTACTACGTGGTGGTCGGTTGGGCCTTGTATCCGTATCCGATACTCCGTGCATTTCATCTCATGTCCCGATTAGGAAGCTTTCTAGCCTTTGATTGGCCAGAGACTTTGTCAAATCGACTTCTCCCAGCTCGTGATCGGCACAGCTTTGTGACGCCTCACCTCGATAAAGTGCGGTGGCATGGGTGGGGAGATGGCTTCCATCGAGGTAGTGCCTTGGGTAGTGTAAAAATCAGATATCGCTGTTGTGGGAGCTTCCCCGTCGTTCTATCCAAAAGTCTAATCATGGAATCTGTTCTATACTCCAATCTCCCCATGCCTCCCTGTAAAACACACTTCCCATCTAACCTCCTTGTGTCGAGGCGTAGACGAGAATAAACCAAAAACAAATGACCCTTTCGAGGTGTCCGTCTATATCCCAAAATGAGCGTAAAGAGATGAAATGGGAAAACAAGAAAGCCAAAATAGGTAACATGCACACTTTTTCCCAGAACCGTCTCACCCATTGCTGTGAGTTTTGGTCGCTCATATTCCCAACCAGTCCCCGCCTCCGCATGCCTGCCAAACAGAAACCGAGAAGGGAGTCAAAAGCTCCCAGCAAACCCAAATGCTTTTGTGTACAACCATATTCCAGGTCTCATTAAAAAGCGCCAGCAACAAACTCTGAAACCGCTGGACAGGGGCTGGCCAATGCATCTTGTTCTGCCAGAAGTATTGCCCTCCACAACTTCCACCCCGCCCCTATCCCGACGGCTTGACAGAGAAGACACGAAATTCAGTTTCGTCATTCAGTCATTGAATTCGTAATCTGCATAAATCTGCCAGGCGACTCAATTGCCGCCCGACCAAGTCCCCCCATCTTGCAAAGACGAGTGTGAAAGGTCCGTGGGTGCAACCGTACATCCGCCGTTGGCGTGTTCGCAGTTGTTGTGCGAAACTGATGTGCCGGTGGTAGTCAGGCGTCGACTCTGCGTGACACCGCCGGTCTTTCGAGAACCCTTTGAAGGCTTCTCAGACAAGTGATCCAAGCCTGGTCCGGATGGTGTCAACATGGTCTGACTGCGAGGAGGCTTCTCTTGCAGACGGAACGTATTGTGCTCATCACCATCGGCGCGGCTTCCCCATGAAGTCTGCGAGGCGTCTTCGGTTAGTCTTGTTTATCGCCAACGTATGCCGACATTTCGGAATGACTTACATGTTTAAGTGTAAAAAGAGCGTATAACTTGATGAGGCCATGGAAATATCCAAAGAGAATCGAAACAGGCAAATAGATAAGGTCTTGTGGGTTCTTGCGGAAGAGTCCAACCAGCTTGACGACCTTGGTGAAGCCAAACATGAAGATGATCTCGGCCGCCAAAAGAGTGTACCGGTCGTTGACATCCCAGCCCTCAGTGGCCCGCCAGCATGAGAAGAGCAGGAGCGGGTCGACAACAAAGGCCAAGGACGTAAAGGTTGCGATGTGGAGAGCGTAAGTGCACCATGGTTGTTGACTGTTGTTGAAGAGTGTTAATAAGGAGGGACAGGGGGGTATGGGTGGACAGGGGGCGCCTATTGCGGGTGGGGAACAAGGTCGAGAATGGGGGCAGGGGTGATGAAATGGTGGTGCACACAACACAGTCATGCACAGTGACCTAAAAGGGTATTGCTAGGGTTCGGTTGGGAGCGGCTCAACTTACGTAAGCACGTATCTCTCGTGCACAAGACTGGTCCAGTTGCTTCTCCAGTTGCTTCTCGCCCAGCGGGAACACTGATACAGGAACTTGACGCTGGTTTCCAACGTCGTCTCGATCTCGCACTCGGGATCATACTGGATCCAGGTCTTCCACTGGTGCGCGACCAACCAGCGAGTGACATAGTTGTCGTCATCAGCGTTGAGGATGTACTTGCCCCATTTCTCGCTCTTGAAGCCACTAAGGAACGGGTAGCCCTTGAGGATGTCCGAGCGGTAGGCACCGGTGCGTCCAGACATGCAAGAAGTACCGCCGTCGATGTTGTGGGTGGCTGAGATTTCAAAATTGCGGCGCTCAATATACGCCGCCCCAAGCCAGTTGTAGATGCGGGTTGTGAGGTCTCCATCGATGCGCTTCACCCGCTGGCAGGTACCGACTCCGCCGATTTTATCGTCCTCAAATGGGGCAAGGAGCCACGGCATCAGTGTCGATGGCCATTCGACATCATCGTCAGCCATGACCGTGATTTTGGTTTCGACATGGTTATCCTCCAACGCCTTGCACACCTGCAGTCTTTTGTTTGCCTTGTCCACATGAAGGACTTCGATCTTGATGGGGTGATCGCACGCTGGCTTCCTCAGCGTGGCCGCCATTGCTTCGAGCGCCTCATACTTGTTCCACGTGGTTACGAGTATGAGCTTGGCGGGCTTGCATGCTAGGATGCTTTCAAGCGAGGTTCGCAGTTCCTCGAATTGATTGTGGATTGTGGGAATAACGACAGTGACATCTGCCGAGGTGAACTTTGGGTCCTTTTTCGGCTGCACGGACTTGTAGGTCCAGTGGCTGACACAGTGGACTAGAAGGCGCACATAACGATGAAGCCTGAGTGAAGCGGTTAGCACGCGCTGGGGCGTGGCGGATTGGGTGGGACTGGAATTGCACAAGTCAAGCATACCATATAACAATATGGAAATAAAACCAGGATTTGGTGGACCATAAAAAGTCCAAGTTTGGTATTATGAAACCCATTAACTCAGCCATGCTGAGAAATCGATGCCAGATAAGGGGCAAACCAAACGTGTACTGGATCTGCTCTACTCAAGGAACCCAGCCCGAAGATAGCACAGCCTGTGTAACTGGGAAGAGATGTCCACAGCAGATGGGCGGACAAGTGAAGAATCTGTCGTTGACGTCCGAGAGATGACACAAGAACGAAGGATCCGAAGAGAAAGCAAGAACGAAGGGGGGAGTTGCTGGATTGGAAAAGGGGACGATGAGCGAAAATGTAGGTCGAAGCTAGGAGGTTTCTGTGATTCTTTCCAGTCCTCCGGGACAAGTTGCTGGCAAGCTTGATTTACCGGATCGAAAGGTCGAAAGGTCGAAAGGTCGAACTTGTTGGGGTTTTGATAGGGCGAACTCGTCACCACCGGGGGATAGAGGTTTGCCGTTCTCGAGCGAAGGGTGGGATAGCGAACGACAACAAACGTTGATAGGGGGGATAGCCCTCGTTAAGACAGGCAACTCAATGCTTGACTTCCAGGAGGACCCCTAAACTAAAAGCGTTTGATGATGGGGATATAGGGTGATATAGACCGAATATGGAGGAGGCTAAAGCAGCAAGGTCATTGACGAAACCAATTGGTCTGTCTAAGACAATGAGAAGAAAGAAGAAGTAGACTAGAACTGCAAGAGAAGTTCAGAAGTTCGGGGTCCAGACGTGGAGGAGGGGGGACGGGGACCAGAGATATATAAGAAGAGACAACAGGCTGGAGAAGACGAAAGGAGACAAGATGGGACAACAGCAGCCATCCCACAACGGGAGACGGGAGACGGGAGCTAGAGGGGAATCAACGAGTGACAGACCCAGAGAGGTGCAGCTCTCGACTCCATCGTCATGCTCTGAGAGGTCGACGGTTCCATCACGCACAGCACGAACATGGGGTGGATGGGATGAATTGGATGTGACTTCAGTCTAGACTATGGCTGGTCTTGGACGGACCCCCAGAGCGGCGGCATGGGGAGGAGGAAAGAGTGGAATAGTTAATGGATAAGTTGGGGCATGTTGGACGAATGAAGAGGGGGCATTGGAACTGGCGGATACGACCATGGTGCCAGCGCAAAAGAGATGAGAATAGCCTGAGAGACAAGGAAGTTTAGAAAATGAATTTACATATTGAGGGAAAGTGGAAAGAGAGAGGAATTGGAAGGTAGTAGAGGAGCAGTAGCCGAGTCGGAGTGAAACTGAAAGCTCCAGGGCAAGAGCCAAAAAGGCCCACGGGCGGACAGGGCCAGGGAATGGAGAGAGTGGAATAGGAATATGGATACTCTTTGGCTGTACTGGACCTAGTGTTGTAGGTACCTGCAGAGTAGCTCGAGGAAGTACACTGGCTTGTGTTGTGAGTGTGCGAATTGCGACGGCAAAGATTGGACGCATCCATCCATCCAGGTTGTGAGTGTGAGGGATGGCGGGTTGAGGGATGTAATTTCAAGAGTTGCAACACAACGCTGCTTGACAGATGAATCCGTGCGCGCAACGGAAAGGGAACCTGGACCTTCCTTCAAAGTACAAGCATTTTGATCTGTCTGTTTCTGCTCATCGCTGCTGCTTCCTCAGAGGTCTAAAACTTTTGGTTTAGTGGAGTCCTTACCTAACCCCTTCCCCAGACCAGTCCCGTTCTGGACTAGAATGCTTTTGGTTGTCCCGATTCTGCATCGTGGACTCGACGAATCTGCGGCCAGAACGGCGAGTTGTCGACGGCGTAACAGACTGCAAACCTGCGAGTCGGGGACAACACGCAGTCATGAAGTATTCATCGCAGTGCTCAAGGCGCTCCGTTACATGCTAGGTAGACCCTCTGTGTACATACCGTGACACTCTGATTGATCATCGAATCTCAAGATTAGTCAAGAGGAGGAAAGGTAGCCTTGTGTTTCGAAACAGGCAAAAGAGTTTAGAGAGCTCATTAATTCATCTCTCACCTTTTTTCTCTCCAACTTTTTCAAGTGCCCCTCCATCTGAGTGCCAAGGTCGGGGTGGCACGGGCCATTCGAAAACGGTAAGAGGAGGGGCGTGCGTGTAGCAAGTGCAGGTACCGTACACAGTGAGGTGCCTTCCTCAAACCAAACCTACAAGGGAAACGGAACCTGCCGTTCACAGATTGTGCAAGAGCAATGGTCCCATTCGCACAACCCTCACCACTTCCCCTTCTGCGGTTCTGCCACTCTAGCACTGCACCTCTCTGCATCACCGAGAGCGCTCACTACGACATTCATCTGCCATTCGGCCAGTCGCAACCCTGCGAGCTCTGGACATCCTGCACATCCACATGCAGACATCTACAGCGATTCCAGGTTGCGCGGCCATGGACGGCGACCATCGAGATACGGACGGCCACACACTGCACCCACACTGCCCGTCCAGGACCCCAACGGCAATGGAACGGGCGATGCTGCAAGATGAAGCCGCCATGAAGCCGAAGTCAGAACTCAATCCCCCGCCCAGGCGTGGAATGGGATGCCGCTCACCACCAACTACCACCACCAAATACCACCTCAATCTAAATGTCAACAACGTCTCCCGCCATCCACATGCCAAAAGCAGTCCAGTCTTCCCCTCCAAGGACCCTGGACTGGACTCTGGAGTGTCTGTCATGCCTGAGATGGCTCGAGCACTTCCTCTCATCTGGGCCAATGATATCTCCCCTATTCTTTCCAATCTTGTTCTTGCTATCCATTATCTTTCCGGCCTCACCATTCGCACCACAAGCTGCTGTTCGGCAACAGAACGCGATGGCTTGAGCCCAAGCCCCAGTGTCCTCCGCGATAGCGCTGTACTGTGCGCATCTTGCAGTCCGCGAATCGCCTAGAGATTATATTTTTCCCCCCAGGCATGGGAGACATGGAGACCCTTGGAAGAGGGCTTACGGTTGAGCAAGACTTAACAACCTAGACCCTACAGCAAGGTGAGTGGACTTTAATGCAGCGTCCAATTTGCTGTTCAGCGGCCACCTACCCCGCCGTACACAGGTACCTGACAATGAATAGACAGTGGACGTGATCCTCACCGTACACTACAGCTGCGGATTCCTTACGAGGCCAGCGACAAGGCCAGCCGCGGCATAGGTGGTGACGAGCCGTCGACAGCCCAGCTGTTGTACGATGCCTATACGAAACAACGGCGAGGCGTTAAAATAGCTTGAACGGACATGCGGAGTCGTGCCCGTGGTCCACTACCACTGTCAGCGAGCAGGCAAGTACCTGATTGCTACTTGGCCGTACAAGAAAATCTGGACGACACTGGAATGTGATAGCACAACGTTCACAGGGTCGGCCTGCTACACGTAGGCCCTCCACCTAGGTGTTCCCCTGACTGCGGTGTACATACCAATCCTGGCGGTGACCCTCAAGCCGATTCCGGAACAGGTGCGACACGGCTCGGGCCATACCGAGCTCGACACACTCCTGATTTACTGTTCACCGACAGGGCTCAGCCTGGAATTCGTCAGTCCATCATCCTACAACTGTACGTTGTTCACAAAACGGTGTGTGAAGGCATTCGGATGACGGCGGAGATCCTGAACAACTCATTTGCTGTCCGGCAAAACTTTTACCATCCATTCCGGTCTTGGATGTACCAAAGATACTATTTTGGCTCACAGCCGACTAAGCATTCGTCAATCATGGGCTTCCATCGACGATCGATTCGCTCCGATACTCTCCACACCATCTAGCTTCGCACACAGTGTACCTGCTTACGATGCTCAACCAATTTTCTCGCTACCCGAACGGTGCCCTCAAAGCTCGTCACTGGTTTCCCTTGCTGCAACTTCTTCACAGACATATCCTCTCTATCGTTTACGACGAGCTTTACACAGTATTTGACCGTCATAGTGTGTTTACTTCCATATTCTCCGTCAGCACTTCGCCGGTGATACATATTAAAAGCGAGTCAGCAAAAGGTTCTCAGCCTAAGGGTGCTTCGGCAATGTGGATCCAGCCCAGGGTGTGCCGGTACATACAGTTAACAGCGTTCTCGGCGCGCATGGCTCGTGCTGGTTAGAACGGGGTAGCTCCGTGCTACGCCGGGGGTTGTAACCACTAGCTACGTAGGAACTACGCACTAATAGAACGGCCCTGAACGGCGGATCGGGTCGAGCCTCAAAATGAGGAGCAAGAACGAGATGAAAGGATATCACGCCAACTTCCAACAAAGTTTCCGGCCTCGGCTTGATGAAAAGGACCATGAATACCAAAGCGCACTGGAAAGACGAAGCCGGCGAGCCAAACCAGGTGAAATTATCGGTTGCACCAACGTTCCATGGAACATGGTGCGTATTGCAGCGTTCCTGGATCATGAAGACCAAAAAAGGGTCCCGGCAAACGAACGGGGTGGCTTGACATGACGATGCTACGGTCCCAGGATAATCCTTCGAGAAGTGCGGGTTCATGAGCTGGGCGAGCCAGGGTGACTCGGGCGGACAGCCGCGGACACAAGCCTCAACCTTCCAAGGATCTTGTTCATAACGGTTTCCCACTGGTGTCCCAAGATTGTCGTGGAGTGGTACCCAGGTACAACGGCACACCAAGACACGGGTGCACGGTTAGCCAGCTTGCCCGACCTCTGTCCAAAGTCTTGCGCACGGACGGTATGTTGGAGAGAAAAACGAAGCGATGGTGCCTACAATTTAACGTGGTGCCGGTTTTCATCGTCTGATCCCCTTTATCCCTCTCTCGACAGAATGTTAATCCTACGCCTATCGGTCCTCAAACCTCCATGTTGCAAAGCAAGTCGAAATCAGGATGGGAGTGATGAATGTTGCCGGCCCATGCAGGTACATCTTGTTCGAGCATGACACAATCCGGAAAGAAAGAAAAAAAAAAACCATCAAAGTCGCCTATCTTGCATTCGCAGCAGATTGCTAGGTCGTTCAGCGATGTTGTATGCATGATAACAACTTTCTCTGCCCATCAGGTTGCGCCAAGAAATCCGCCTTACGTTGTTTTCCCTTCCCTCTTGCGCTTCATCAATGGAGATCCCGATATACTACATGGCCCTTTCGCTTCGGCGGGCGCAGGACGGGAGGTTTTCACCGAGTTCAACATGCAAAAGAGGTGCCACTCAGGGACGTACCAACCTATCCCGTCTGTTCGACTTTAGCCCAATGCGTATGGCGCATATGATGGCTATGAGGATTCTTAATTCAAGGTCCCGACCCTTGCTCGACTGCCGTATCTGGTACGGAGAAGCTGGTCAAGTCACGACATCGAGTTGTAAAGGCATTTACGAACCGTCGATGTATGCCTGCTCTTCTTTTATTCAAGGAACGCGGAAGTATCGTGGCTGACCATGGACGAAGTGGTCGAGCCGGACATCGGTAATGATGGGAGGCAACCTCAATTTATGACGCCAAAGGCAGGAAGGAGTTCAGTCTGCCCTCTCACACGAACTACGAGCACACTGCGTTTTTGGTTACCTAGCTGCCCCCCCCCCCCTTGGCTACTATGATCCGATTTGAAATGGACAGGATTCACGCCGAGGTTTCAATCAAACCAGTGGCTGGCACCGGCTCGACCGACTGTCACTAGCATTACGGTTGTTGTACTGTCTACAAAGAAGAAGAAAGATCGATAACGATACGACTTGGTCTTCGATTCGAAATTGCATACATGACAAGCAGCGGGAACAGCGTTATCAGACGCTGGCACATCCCTCTTGGCGGCCATCTACTGGTTCAAGCATTGCAGAGGATGGGGATAGGGCATACTGTGAAGCATAACCCAAGTTCACTTTACGACCCTCAGAAACCAATGCTGGGACAATGTGGCAGCCAACCAAGATTCTCAATGACCCAATTCACTCATCGAGATTGTATCATCAATTGTACGGTACCAGAAATACTCTATCTGCGGGAAGTAGGCAGACATGCTCAGGCTGCGGACCAACAGAACACTTTCTTCCCGCACGGAACACAACACCGTTTTTCGCCAATCAACGGAACCAAGGGTGTTCGGGCCGGAGCCTGAGTTGTCGGCTTTGTGAAGCTCTTTAAGTCTGTTAATCGACAGTCCTTAACACCAACTCATAGCTCGGGCTGTTTGAACACGAAAGCGGCCGAAACTTCAGGTTCTCGACATCTGGCCTTCTGAATACAATAAAAGGGGCACCAGTCACAAACGCCTGATAAAGTTTTGAATGTCTGAAAATATGCATCCACACCAAGATCACTACGCAGTACATCCGCCTTCCTTCCGGGGCTGGAAGTTGACCTGTAACTCGGCAACCCTCGAACAAAAGGTGATTGACGGAAGGCCCAAAAGACCCCCGTTGATGGTGGTGAAGCGGCCGGTTGTGGTCGCCGATACTATTTCCGTGTCTCCTGCATATCGGGCTCCACGTAGCTGGCGAGACCCGGGAGGAGGCCGATGCCATGCTAGCAGCAAGGCACAAAATACCGACCACTCGCCGATTCTCCCGCGGTCATGGATTCCGGACTGTGTCGTGTGCTTGCAGAAACGGGATGGGGCATTCTGTATGACACCGACGAACAGGCTGGCATTGGTACCAGCCAGTGATCAATATAAAACAAAACAAAATTTCTTTTTGACCGTTTTGTTTTGTTTTATATAACAAGGCACGTTTTGTTTTATTTCCCCAAGCATGCCAAGAGCCGGAATACGGTAATTACACGATACACCTGGCCGAATCAGCACGATTACACAATAGAAACGCGTAGATAAATACACCATTTTCAAGAACTGCTACAAATACAAGTAGTGCTAGCGGGCCGTCGGGAGCAGACTTTTTACCCTGCGTTTGTTGACCAGATACGATTTGAGGTCACTATCGAGGTTGCTGGCGTAGAAAAGACCGGCTTCGACGGCCAAAATCTACCCCTTCTAATGATCAGAACCATGGGTCAAATCTTTTATGTGCTTTGGCAAAACCGTCCCAGCCGTTTTATCTGCATTCACACCCCTTTTGTTTTGTTTTGTTTTGTTTTGTTTTGTTTTGTTTTGTTTTGTTTTGTTTTGTTTTGTTTTGTTTTGTTTTGTTTTGTTTTGTTTTGTTTTGTTTTGTTTTGTTTTGTTTTGTTTTGTTTTGTTTTGTTTTGTTTTGTTTTGTTTTGTTTTGTTTTGTTTTGTTTTGTTTTGTTTTGTTTTGTTTTGTTTTGTTTTGTTTTGTTTTGTTTTGTTTTGTTTTGTTTTGTTTTGTTTTGTTTTGTTTTGTTTTGTTTTGTTTTGTTTTGTCTTTTTTTTTTGTTTTGTTTTGTTTTACGTATTTTGTTTTGGTTTGAACGCTGGTACCAGCTCACTTAGCATGCTGCCGGCGTGCTGACGTGCAATGCGCACACCTGCCGCCGCGCCGCAGGCTACATGGCACCATCTTCCCAAAAGACAAAAAAGGAAAGAGAAATGGCTGCCGTCGTCTGAGGCAGGTCAGGGTTGGCACCGCGGCGGTTTCCCTCGCCTTTCACAGCCTACGAATGGTTATGAGCAATGTCGGCTGCTGCATAGATAGCATCAATGGCTACGAAGCGAGCGTCTATCGGAAAGATTTGGGCCTTCTTGCCAATTGGCACGATGATGAACACGAACCAGTTCAGCGTTTGTTCGACCGGAGATGTGTCTGGACGGAGATATCTAGGTGTCCATCTCGACTTGTCCCCAAACATACAAACTGCAGATGATCAGATCTCGAGGTTGTTTATTCACTCCTTCCGGAGGATTGGAACACAATGCAGAGGCCCGAAATCTGGTGCCTTTCTGTCTTCGGTGGTGGAGCAACCCATTTGCTAAGACTAGGCCGGCAACTCTCCGATATCCATCAGCTCAGGGACCCTTATTGTCGCCTCTGCAGCCCTGTGGCGGTGGCCGTACCGCGCCGAGCCGGTCCGTCCGATCTGGATCGGGAATGGAATGTCATCGTTGTCAGCGAAAACGCAAAACATCATGATATTCGTCGACGCGGACGCTTGGCAGGTTACAGGACGACGCCGTGTTTCGCCAGCACGGCGAACGTCGTCAAGCTGCTGTTTCAGATTCGGATGAAGACACCGCTGCAGACAAGCTGGACAAGTCAAAGAACATCGGATGGAGCTCGCCCACAAAGGAGACGCACCCAATGAAAGTATGGTATGCACCGGCAACAATCGGTCAGCGAAGAGAAGCTTTTGCAGCGCTGACCCCGATACACGCACCCCCGATCCAACAATGCACTGGACACTGGTTACCAAAGCTCAACCTGATACTATCCC